CTTAGCGCCGAGTCACTACCGTCTTCAGATACATATTATCTATAAATTTTTACTGAATAGCCTATAATATGCGCGAGAAGATATGTGTGTGTGTGTGTGTGTGTGTGTGTGTGTGTGTGGGTGGGTGTGGGTGGGATGTGTGTGTAAAATTGCAGAATGCATGCAAATATATATATATTTGCATGCATTCTGCAATTTTATTTCTTTGTAAATACTCTGACGGAAAAATTTTTTTGAAAAACTACATAGATCTTAGAAATTCTTTTTCATAGGTATTCGTAGTGAAATGTAGCATTGTTTGTTTGAAAAAGAAATCCTCCTTTCCATGTACTTTTGATGTTACATTATGAATTTTTACGGAACATTTTTTTTCTTGTATCACGAAACAAATAACGTCATACATCGTACTACAAATATCTTCGAAAAACTAAAAATTCCTAAGATAAAACGAATCTTAGAATTCTAAGATAAATGAATCTCTTTACATTCCACTACAAATATTTACGAAAAACTAAAAATTTCTAACTTGTTTCAATCTATTTAGTTTTTCTGTACTTTTTTGTAAAAATTTTTTTACCAGGATATAATTCTGTAATCATATATTTTAAATACCATGTTTTTTTAAAGAAAATTAATTTTTTAAATTTATTTTTGTGGAGGGCAGTATCATCAAATTTTTATAAATAATATCCTAAATAATAAATATTTCGTAACTTTGAGTTTATTATAGAATTGATTGAGCAACAAATTTATCAAATGTAATCGTTAAATTCTAAATTTAACAAAGTTGTATAAAATATAAATGTAAATATTGTAAATATATAAAATAAGAGGCTATAATACTATTATCTCTTCCAGTATTTCAATGTATATGATAACATAATATAATCTGTCGAAAATGGAATAATAAATATTTCATAACTTTGAGAGTCATTTTAAATTAACTTTTATATTATAAATGTTTAAAAAGTCAGTAAATTAAATTTCCTAACGCTTAAATTAAATATCTTGAATTGTTTAAAATTAATAACTTTATAAACAAGTATTCTTGAGAAATACTTTCTCATATTTTGAGATGTAATTTTTTAATCAACGTCTGACTTTCACTCTACAATTTATGATGTATCATGCAATGTTTCGTAAGTGTATTTAATTGCGCTTCGTTACTTATCGATTTTTATCAGGCCATTTTGTTGCTCATTTTACGTATTTCTGTTCCGCGATAATCCGGTACGAGCCGTACCATGTCATATACATGAACGCGTAAACAAAGAGGTAAAATGTCACGTTAAAATTCGTAACAAAAAGAATGTTCTATTGGTATGAATGCAACTTCAATGGGTTGATAAATAAAAATTAAGAAAATTAAGAAAGATTATGTAGTTAATTAATGATGGATCATCATCAAACTCTGATTACTTGATCGGCACCGACTACGATATCTCATTCAGGGGCAAAGATACATCGATTCTTGTGTTTTCAGCATCACGTCTTTGATATCGGCGTTTTTGTTTTCAAAGTTTTGCCAGATTATGCCAACTCATTTAAAAATATTCAATTTTTATTCAATCGTAAAAAAAGTTTAAATCTATATTTGAAGAGTGACAAAGAAATTATCCTACCAGAATGATATAATGTATAAACGAGATTGTTTGTTAATAAAAATATGTCAATATGGAATATCATTTAACATTGATATGTTATTTTATGAATATATATTATATAATCGAATTATACGTGGGCGAGTCAATAAGATAAACTTAATATGTATTGTTTTGTTTTTTTGGATGGCAAAATTAAGGTTACTTATTGATTCACCTATTGTATATTATTTCCGTTAATAATCACTACTGATATATGTAATTTTTAATTGCTTTTTAAAAACTTTGTTGAAAGTTGAAAGCCGTTATTTTAAATCGCAACTTTAATTATCTGATATTTAAATTTCTGTTTATATGATAGAATAGATAATTAATCCTATAAATTCCGCTATAACTATATATAGATTTATAATGTGATTTAAAATTATAAAATAAATCTTATCGTGGTTTGTTAAGTGATAAGAGAAATATCAAATCATTTGGTAAGTACATGGTGATGGATCATGTAATGGAAATATCAGTTATTATGGAAAAATAATTATCAACATGGAAATTTTTCATCGAAAACGAGACAACGTATCAAACGACCTTTCTGTCTATCTCGTAATATCGTATTTGATATCGTGAATTGATGAATGCTTACCTACATATTTGGATCTGTATATTCACGGATTACTTTGCACGGATTTATTGTATTGTAATCAATAATCGCTATCTCGTGTCAGGTGATCAATGGAAAAATAATTTACTAAAATTAATTAGTAAAATTAATTAGTAAAATTAATAAGTAGTAAAGCATGACAGTTGCGTATTATTGCGCACAAAAAATCAAGAGGAAACGGAGGAACGGAGAGGTGATAGTCCCACGCAACGATTAGGAAGATCATGAGTGTGAGTTCTATTTGCCTTGTGTTTTATTTGCTTATCAAAAAAGGACGTTGACTCTTTTTGATATGCAAACAAATTGATTGTGCTCTCCTCAGACAATATCGATTGTTTTACAGGACGTCTATCTATTAAAATTCTTAAGACTTGTAAAGTTTGTCAGAAAGACATTTTTATGACGAAATTAAGACTTCTTGATTTATGATATCTTTGTATCAAGACGTTTCAAACGTGCATGTGTCTGAATTTTAAATTATAATTAGGAAGTTTCATGTCAAGTTGTTTGAGGAAAAACAATACTCGTTGAAGATAATTTACGGCCTCAAAGATAATATTTTTGCTTGCAAGCGAATATCTCGGTAATTAACAATTTGGAATTGATATAACTGCAGATTAATTAATTCATTATTATTATATAAATAATTACATAAATTTTGTTTGCAATTATATAATACCATTATTTTTCTTTATATAATTCTTTTTTCTAATTTCATATATTGTTAATGATCGTCTGATAATATCGCAATTTAAATACTTGACTAATCGCGTATTCATTAAATATTACATTTACAGTATTTCATAACAATTTCATAACAGTAGTAAATAAAAGTAACGTTAATGAAATTCAATAAAATAGAGCTTGCGTGCACGTTCGCTGCTTTCTGCGTGACAAGTTTATTGTTGTCAAAGCTGTTCCTTTCCTCCCTAAAAATGCGAGGTGCAATCCTATATTCGTGTCGATAATTTTACGTTGTGACAATACTAGTGAGATTGTATCTTTTCGATGTCAAGTGCGCGTGCGATTCTTGCGATACACATTTATACTAGTTCAATACCATGACGTGCAATCGACGACGCAATCACATGACACATTACGTCGAAAAATTACGTAAATGAAATACGTAAATTGCGATAATACCGCGGTATATATCATAGTAATATACTTGGTTGATTTTTCTGCGGTTCTGCAGAAAACTATTTGCAGTGAAGTGACAAATCAGCGTGTAATTTGATTTATGCTTATGCACCGAGACATAAATTAAATCATCCTTTCCCACATTCGTGATACTAAATATAAATTAAGATTTCCTACTTATTAATATAAAATTATCATCGGTCAATGACATACCAAAGTTTTCTTCTTCTATAAATACGCGAAATATATATATGCGCCATTTCTCTTTTATGTAATATAAAATAATTCGTAATATAAAACATAAATTAAAACTTCTCGTTTAATGAAAAAGAAATAGAGTATTATTAAATAATGATATACTGATTATAAATATGAATTTTTTTACAATACGAATATAAACGCTACTTATTTTGTTTAATAGATAATAAAAAAATTATTAATATAATTGCTTTGCACAATAGATTAAACAAATTTTTTTTTACCTGAACTTTGCAAAAGTATATTAAATTTACCTGCAACAGCTGGATATCCTCTGCTGCAGTTTAAATCTCTGCTTTATAAGCTTCGAACGTTTATCAATCGCTCCGTAAAACCGGAAGCATCGTGGGCCTTGAATCTCACCGCATTACCTGAAATACGCAATTATGTAAAACCTCTTTATCTCCGGAAAAGCCTTCAAAGCAACGCTTTGATTCGAGTTTCATCAGTGAAGCATTGCCTACAAATTATCTCGAATGTTAGCACGATTGAATTGCTAACCTCGAGACAAAAACATCTTCGGAAAATCAATTTTTCGTTGGTGATAAAAATATAATTTGAGATTTTGTATGAAACAGATAAATATATTTTCCTAAGATAGTTTCTTCTCTGACAAAACAAAATTTTCAGCTTTAATAATTAAATAATAATTAAATAATGATAATTAAATATTTAAATAATAATTAAACATTTAAATAATAATTAAATTTTCGAATTTGTAAAAAAAAAAGATATAGATAAAACATATGTGTTATAAAATTTTTGCGAACAACTAAATAAAATAGATAAAATTTCGATATTTAATCATATGTTATACAATTCCATTTTTATATTAATTACAATAAGAAAAATGATTTACTAATAAAAAAAATATAATAAAAGAAATGATTTATTATACTTCTTCATTAGAATTTGACTTAATTTATCATTACATAAATTTTAGGAATAATAGACAAAAAGAATTTTTAAAATGATAACTTCTCAGAAAATACAAGTATATTAAATATGCAGCAAATAATAATGCGATAATAACTGATACTAACGAAAGACGCGTGGACGCGTATAATCATAGTTTACTTTGGTATTTATTTTCATGTTCATTTACGGTTTAATATAAATCCATTTGTGGGTTGATGAATGTATTATTAAGTCTCATTAAAGCGATAAAGTAGCGATCAGAAGAATGTTACCTTTAAAAAGCTGTAGATTAAGACGCTCAATTATAAAGTCATCGTTAAACATCCAAGGGATTAACATTGAGCGTGCGAAGAAGTTACGCGAATATTCCTGCACTTGTTTATTTTCCATTTGTATATACGTCTCGCAATTTTACATTACAGCTAGTCTATCCGTCGTCGCAACTGGTGCGATGATGGGATGGACGAGTCCAGTTCTTCCTTATTTGGAGAAGGATGGTGGACCTTTGGAATCGCCGATCAGTAGCGAACAGAGTTCCTGGATAGGATCTCTGATGGCCCTCAGTGCTATTTTCGGCAGCTTCGTGGCAGGATATCTCGGAGAAAAGTATTACTTATAATATAAATTATTTATAATATAAAGAGCCTCTCACTAAGAGTCTGGTCACATACATTTTTTTACAAGAAAATATGACGGCAATCGCTAAATATTGCAGAGCATAGGATAGTATAAAGCTTATGGAACCCTATATATTTTGCAATACAGAATCAAACATTGCCATCATATTTGTCTCACATGACTAGATTTTTACTTGAGGTCCCAAATATAAATTAGTCATTCAATCGCACAAGTAATTTTGTATAATAATGTAATCAATTTACGTAACTACGTTCTACTTCTCGAAACTGTAAGTTGGAAACTAGAGCCAATTTTTGTGAAGAGATTTTTTTCTCAACAAGAGACACAGATGTCACACGGAAGTGTAACACGGAATCATAACAATCTTATTGTTTGTTAATGTTAAACAAAGATGATATGATCACTGTATCACACTGTGTCGTTTAATGAAAAGGATCAAAAGCATCTATCAAATTCAAATATTTAATAGCTGAATCAAAGACAATGAGAATTGATTTTTTTCATTGATATTCTATAGATTGGGCCCCAAACGAGCATTGCTGTCTTGCCTGGTGCCGTATTTAATTGGATGGATACTTGTCGCCTCTGCAAGTCATGTGGCTCAGCTTTATGTTGCTCGATTAGTACTTGGATTGGCTCTGTCTATCGTATTCACGATCATCCCTATATATAATGGGGAAATAGCCGAGGTAAAATTTATTTTGCATACATATATAATATATACATACAAGTAGCACAATTACTTACACAGTTTTCTAGAATTTTCGCATTTTGCCTAAATTTTTATATTATAAATTTTTATATTTAGGCATTTTTTGCTGATATTAAAAATTTATCCACACTTCTCAGAATCTATGAATATAACTAGAATAAATAAAATAATTATTTAAACAATAAAAATTATTTGTTTGTTAAATAATATTAAAAAATAAAGTAAAATTTAAATTAATTTAAATTAAATTTAAATTAAATAAAATTCTGAGAGACTTTTGAATTATTAAAAATTAAAGCGTGAATCAATGAGAGTTAGAGCGCGGTGTAATTGTAGCACTAATTAATTTGTGTAAAAATGTTCTTTATTCTAATTACTTGAACATTTCAATTCTGAACTATCTATATAGCAACAAATTAAAAGATCGAACGTTCTCAGAGGACTAGAAATAAATATATCTCCCCCTAATTATATTTTTGACGCATTGTTGATCGTTGACACATGTCAATCAAATACAAACGAAAAACGAGAGGTTTATCAATATTCTGTACAACCCAATGGATCCGAAAAGCGAAATTAAACATATTTTAATCAAGTAATATAAATAAAAAACATTTGTACACAAATTAATTAATATTCATCGCGCTTTAAATCTCGTTTTAATTTTTAATAATTAAATTGGTCATTATACATATAATAACGAATTTATGTAACTTTTCAGGTGTCTATCAGGGGAGCATTGGGCTCTTTCCTTCAACTCTTTATCACGATCGGTTTTTTATATGCCTATGCTATTGGGCCGTATGTTAGTTACACAGTTTTTTGGATTCTCTGTATCCTCTTACCGATAATCTTCTTCATCTCCTTTTTTTTTATGCCGGAGTCTCCATACTTTCTCCTCCGTCGGGGCCGTAAAGATGAAGCGATTGCATCTCTGGTGAAACTCCGAAGCAAATCCGAAGCTGCCGTTCAGAAGGAGGCCGATGAAATACAGGTAAGTCATTGTGCAAAACATAACTTTCTTTTATAAAATTGTCTGCTCTAAAAGAATTTCAGAATCTTAAAATTTATTAAAGTCAGGAAAATCGATTTGATTCTCAGTTAACTTCGTATTAATTTTTTGTCAAGAAATTCAAATCGTTGGGGAGGAGGGGGTATTTAATTTTATAAAAAATTCTATCAAGAAAATTATGTGGTTAGTATATATTATTATAATAAAAAAATGCTAATTCGATTCGCGGTCGTTTATGGCTTCATTGATTTCTCGCTCGACTGGACAAGGTGATCGCGAATGCACCGTTACAAGCACGTACTCAATTATTATTAGACACATGTCCGAGTATACATTGTCCGTCAGATCGCTTTAGACAAACGAGGTTATGACTAAGGCCGTTTCTTGATCCTAAACGACAGTGTCGCACATTCGTGAGGAACAATTATGACTGGCTTGCAAATAACATTCCTTCCTACAATATAGAATCTCACAGAATCAGATGTTCTTTCAGTCATACGCAGCTTTACATTAAAGCTATTGTTCGAGCGTTGAAACAGTCGCAAAATGTAATTGCAAAAATAATTAACATTAAGAGCCGAGGAACATAGAGGCTCAGATTGTAAGTGACAGCAAATTTGCTTCAGCATTATCTGAAATTCTTTTAATAGCATACACATTTAATTTTTTTATTTCAGAATATTCTGTGTAGATTGTTGTATTTTAATTTTAATATTTAGTGTTTAATAAATTTGTCTTGATTTTTCAGATGATACTTGATGAGGCTTTCAAGAATCAAGTTAGCATCTTAGATCTATTCAAGGTGAAGGTGAACATCAAGGCACTGGGCCATACTTGTGCCTTGGTTTCCTTTCAACAATTTACCGGTATCAATGTCGTGCTGTTCTATCTACAAAATATTTTCATTGCTGCTGGAGGCAGCATCTCAACAGATGTAGCACCGATTATCATCGGAGTGGTGCAAATATTAGCGTCAGCAGTAACACCCGTAGTTGTCGATAGATCAGGTAGAAGGATGCTTCTCGTCATCTCCGGCATCGGAGAGACAGTCAGTTTGGTGAGTAATTGCTTCCATTTTCAGATTTGATTTCAAATTAATCAATCGTGAATTAAAAAAATATGTAGTATAAAAAATATGTAGTAAAAATAAATAAAAAAAGAAATTTGTTTAAATCTGGAATATAATTTAATTCAGTTATGAGAATTAACAAAGATAATTTCAGATCTGATTAGTAAAGATTTTGAATAGCTAGATCAAATCTTATCGTTGACGGTACATATTGTCTTATTAATTAAAGATCAAAATTAGTAGTAGAAGTCAATTAAAATAGTTAAAATTTCGCATTCTTAAATAAGCACAATAATATTTCTGATAGAAGATATTAGTTATAAAAATTATTATATAAAATAATACATTCTTGTTTTATCTTTTCTCATGTTTTTAAGAAACCAGTTGCAGTCACTCATAAAACGTTGCAATTGAGAATTATTATTAATCATATACACTTACAATTAATTTAAAGATATGATAGTTTCAGAGGAGAATTAATAATGCGGGACCTAATATTTAATCTTGCATTGAAACTTTTACAAAATTTTCATACTACTCTCTCTTTTGATGAACACCAGATTGATTTGGAAATTTGCATGAAAAGCGTGTCTAAAATTAGCGTATTCATGAAGCGATAGACGCGGTTTCCCGTAAAGTTTATTTCCTGTTTTATGAAACGAATTGTAATTTTATTGCCCTGCGATGATGAACCTGAGTTTGTTAGAATGGATATGCATTTTGCTGTCGATTAAAATTTCAAAGGAACTTCAAGGAATTTAGATTAGAATCGTTAGACGCATAAAGATAAATTTTTTTCTAAGAAACACAATTATCTTTTGAATCATATTTAATCAGTGAATCGCAATTAAATTTGAAATTAGACATAATATCACGAAACAAAATTATTATTTTTATCGGTTTTCTCATTTTAATTTTATTAAATATAAGGTTGCCTTCTTTTTATAAACATCACAATTATGACGTTAAATGAGATGAATTAAAACAGAATGTTACTATATACATATGTTTGTTTTAATTCATCTTATTTAATGCCATAATCACGATACATATAAAAAGGAGTGTTGTATAATAAAATTCAAATAAGAAGATTGATAAAAATTTTGTTTGGTGATATTGTATATTAATTTAGCATTGACGATTCCATTCCACAAATATTTTTTGTCAACAATAATTTGTAGATGATTGACGCGAATTATCGCGTGTTGATTCATTTTCATATTATATTCACGCGTTCAAATCATTAAATGCATTTTTCGAGGTGAGTTCACGATCAGCATGCGTAATTATATTCGTTATGGATTTAACTTCTTTTATCACGCATCTCGCCTTCAGGCACATTCATGACGAACGACTTAATTATTCGACACAGAGAATTGAGATGCTACTTGTTATCGTCATTTGGAACTTATACAATCCTCTTTGTAGATCAGATAAAGATACAGCCGAGTCCTCGCGCTCGGTAAAGTCCGGCGCAGGAAATACAATAATAAATCGCGAGGATGTATAACAATGTCGAGAAGAGGAAGATTGAGCATTATTATACATATATACGAATCGTCATTATGCATTCCGATGAAATACGATGGAATGTATCGGATTCAGTGCACAAAGTGCGAGGACTTTCACGTGACTATATGTGCATCGATTACATAATTTGCGATAGGAGGCACGCGTATGATAACACGTCGATTGAAATGTCGAATGAATTGAAATAATTATAATTTTTGCATTCTAAGAATTTTTTGAAACGTTTTGAGTTTCCTTTTTTCGTTTTGCCATTGTGAGTCTACTTAAATTTAGAAGGTAGTCTCACTCTGTGAAAGATCAATATAGTAAAAATTGTCAGAAACATCTTGTAATGACGCGCCACTATATGTAGATAAGAATTTTTCAAACATCAAATATGTTTATATAGCAGTTTTTTATCATACAAATTTTAACTTTTGTTCTCGCGCTTTTATCATGTGTTTATAATGTGACTATTGGTTTTGCAGTGTGCTATGGGCTTATATTTCTACCTGAAGGAAGTACAGCACGCGGATGACGTAGTGGAACAGATATCCTGGTTGCCGATAGTCTCGCTAGTCATCTTTATCGCCACATACTGCGTGGGCTGGGGTCCTCTTCCGTGGGCAGTGATGGGCGAAATGTTCGATCCGAACGTTAAGGCCAAGGCTTCCGGTATAACGGTTTCCGTCTGCTGGTTCTTGGCCTTCCTCCTTACCAAGTTCGTTAGTAACATCGAGCAAGCATTAGGCAATTACGCATCCTTCTGGATGTTCGCAGGATTCTGTTTAGTTAGTGTCCTTTACACGATATTTTTGCTGCCCGAAACGAAAGGCAAGACTCTTCAGCAAATCCAGGATGAGCTCAACGGAGTAACTTCAACCGTAAATGTCGAGAATGGTAAAAAGTGAGACGGGAGCAGTCGGGTTCGATTATCTTGATGTACATGCTGAACTCGATGAATTCATCAACACTTTTAAGAGATTAAATATTTTTAAAAAATATGTAAAGTTTTACATTTTTATGACATCTATATAGGAATTGGATATAAAGAAGGAGATTCAAATCATCAGAAATGCGGATAATATATGTATCTCATCTACTGCCAAATTTACACAGATATAGATAATATGGGTGAAAAAGAAATATTTTTAAGCAATCACCGCATGATGATCTAATAATTTAAATAAAATGTTCAGATATATAGAGAGAGAGAGAGAGAGAGAGAGAGAGAGAGAGAGAGAGAGAGAGAGAGAGAGTAAAACGAGGATAGACTTTATTTTTGCTCACATATACGCAGATACTATTTTGTTATTTTCTGCAACAGGGAACCAAAAATATTTCGTCTTCCAAACACATTTACGTAACATAGCACAGTAATTGTATTTGTACATAATGGAAGTCATATCATACATATATTATAAGTACGCTCGCGTTAATGATATACTTCGATATGTGTATCATTGTCTATAAACTTCGTTTTTCTAAGCATAAAGGAATTTGTAATATGTCAATAAATGTTTCTACGTTTTCAAGTTCCTATCAGATCCGTGATTAAGAAACGCAGTGAAGCAACAATATGACTCTCCTATTTATAATATATTATGTATTGGGATGTATTTCCTAGTATTACACATTATTGTGGACGTAGTATAAAGCGAACGAAAAACCAAAAATATTAATTTCGCGGCGTATTTCTCGTTCACGGATGAGAGACTAGTCATTTTATAATGCGTCTACATAGAGAACGTAAATGTTAATTAAAGATCAGAGAGATATTAAAATTTAAAAGAAAATTTCATATCGATTGAAACTATAAATCATTAAAATCAATAAATCGATGAATAACGCGAAGAGAAATAGGTATGAGCTAACTTTGTTTTTTATAAAACTTTGTTTTTTATATTGACAATAACAAAGCTATCATTTTATAAATATTGATAATAACAAAGTCGTATTTAGTTATTTACAAAATACCCATAATTTATATACAATGAATATTAATATATTTACGCGAATAAAATAATTTTGGGAGTAGTATCCATTGTATTATTAGTTGATTTACATTAAATTATTATAAAAAAAAAGTCATAATATTATCTTAATGAGAGTACTATTCTTAAGTGTACAAAGTACATTTTTTATTCTTAATGATTTAAAGAGAAATATGAAAGTTTTAATTTAATATATATTGTTTCAATATTTACGATTAAAGATTTTAATATAAAAATAATATAAAATTTTAATGTAAAATTATAAAAAATAATTTTTTATTCTTTGTCATTGGTTCAAAATTTAGCAGACGGAATTAAAATAATGGAAATTATAATTATATAAAAGTGATTCAATTTAATAATTAATCATGCACTCGTTGCACATATGTGTTGATCAATAAGACTTTTATAAACAATTTATAGTGCATATATATATATATATTGATTAGACATATTGAAATAATTTTTTATAAAGTACACACACACACACACACACACACACACACACACACACACACACACAC